TATTATCTTGTTTTATGTAGGACATGAACTGGCCCATCAATGGTTTGGAAACTTGGTTAGTTAGTTAGTTAGTTAGTGGCCATAATTATCTTAAATATTATGGTGATATTTTATTATTATTATAATTATTTCTCCATAGGTTACGATGGAGTGGTGGACTGATTTGTGGCTCAATGAAGGTTTTGCGTCTTGGATTGAGTACCTGTGTGTTGATTATTGTCATCCTGAGTTTGATATTTGGACCCAGTTCCTGGCGCAGGATTACGCTCAAGCATTGAGTCTTGATGCACTCTCCAACAGTCACCCCATTGAGGTGACATTTTTAGAAATTGGATTTTTTATGAATTTTTAAAATTACTCAAAAATTGGGCAAAAACACAAGCCAGAAAAATGGATGCATACTAAAACTACTAAATTTTTTAGCCAAAATTTGTCAAAAGTCGCTAAAAGATATTCCTCCATTTTTATAATATTTTTACTTCTACATGTTCTTATTTTATGTTCATGTATTGAGTTTTTCATTTATTTGTGTTTGGTTTTAGGTTATAGTTGGTCCACCATCAGAAGTTGAGGAGATATTTGACACCATTTCCTACAGCAAAGGAGCCTCTGTCATTAGAATGCTGCACAATTGGATTGGAGATGATGTAATAAATAATAGCTATATTATTATTATTATTATTATTATTATTATTATTATTATTATTATTATTATTATTATTGTTATTATTATTATTTTTTTATTATTTAGGATTTTCGTAAAGGAATGAATGCCTATTTGACTAAATATGAGTACAAGAACACTAAGACAGGTTAACTTTATGAATTAGTGTCCCTCCTCCTCCTTTTTATCATTAATCCTTTCCTCCTTTAGTTGATCTCTGGACTTGTTTGGCAGCTGCTAGTGGTAAGCCGGTTATGGAGGTTATGAAGACTTGGACACAGCAGATGGGATACCCAGTACTGACAGTTGACGCCAAACAGGTTTGAATGACATTGAATAAGGCCAAGTATTACGAAATAAAAAAAATTATTGATTTTTGTCATCTTTTTGCTGATTAGGAGGGCAATAATCGTGTCCTTAGCATTTCGCAGAAGAAGTTTTGTGCTGATGGAAATATCAAAGGTTTGACAAAAATCTTGCAATATTTTAATCACACAATTTTTTCTCTCCTCCTCCTTCTTCCTCCTCTCTTGTAGGATTTGAAGACATGTTATGGCAGGTTCCAGTTACCATAGCAACACCTCAAAATCCAACAGCGTACAAGTTTGTATTAGATAAGACATCAGCTACCGTCACTATTGAGGGACTCAAGCCGACTGACTGGATCAAGGTAACAGATCATTTTACTTTCTTAAAATGGGCATAACTCAAAAAATTGAAGTCAGAATCAGCTCAAACTTTCTACACAGCATAAGGACATCAATATGTATCAGAAAATGTAATAAAAACTGGGGGTGATTTCGGAGCCATTTTTTGGAAAAAACCATGGGATAGCCTTGGGTATTTTTCAAGATTTTGGAATTTTTAAAAATGGCCATAACTTGAAAAATTGAAGTCAAAATTAGCTCAAACTTTGTACACAGCATAAGTACATCAATATGTATCAGAAAATGTAATAAAAATTGGGGGTGATTTCGGAGCCATTTTTTGGAAAAAACCATGGGATAGCCTTGGGTATTTTTCAAGATTTTGGAATTTTTAAAAATGGCCATAACTTGAAAAATTGAAGTCAAAATTAGCTCAAACTTTGTACACAGCATAAGTACATCAATATGTATCAGAAAATGTAATAAAAATTGGGGGTGATTTCGGAGCCATTTTTTGGAAAAAACCATGGGCTATAAGCCTTGGGTATTTTTCAAGATTTTGGAATTTTTAAAAATGGC